TCAATTAAGAGGGCAGACATAATTTGCAACAAAAAAGGCACAAAACTTTATTTTCTGTTACAGAATTTTGATTTATTTCTACTTCCAAGCCCATTCCATAGATCTGGGGGCTTCGGGGGCGGGCCCTTGCTGAGGGGGGCGGCTTACCGAGCTGCCCCCGGGTCCCTGGCCAATGTTCCTTCTAATTTTTTTTCAGGGTGAGCGGAAAAGTATAGTGTTTGAGTAGCACATTTTCATGCCTGGCATTCATCAGGCTGAACCCTCGCTCACAATTGGTGCTTGGCGCTTGGAATGTTGTGCAAATGTCAAGCAGACGAGACAGAAGTTCAAACTGTTGCTCTCTTAGGTGCTCAGGCATGAAACTGTGCCGCTCAAACACTATACTTTTCCGCTCACCCTGAAAAAAAATTAGAGGGAACATTGGCCAGGGACCCGGGGGCAGCTCGTTAAGCTGCCCCCATCAGCAAGGTCCCGCCCCGGAAGCCCGAAGATCTATGGAATGGGCTTGGAAGTAGAAATAAATCAAAATTCTGTAACAGAAAATAAAGTTTTGTGCCTTTTTTGTTGCAAATTATGTCTGCCCTCTTAATTGATCAATAGATCTTTGCAGCTTATTTAGCACCTGCCAAGGGTACTAAATTTCAGGACATTTTCCTGACCCCACCGCCATCACTTCTGAGAATTGGTTAAGATATCTTTGGAGCTTTAAAGACTAAACCTTATTTTAGTTTCTTTAAACTATGATGTTCATAAAGTCATGTTTTGTAGAACAATAGGAAATGTGTACTTGGCTTTTTCATCCATCTCTCAGTCAAGGGCAGGACAAAATCAAATGCCTGTGCTACAAGAAACATTGCGGGTGGATTTAGGGAAGTCACTAGCTTTCAACATGATCTCTGATTCGCCACAAACTTAAAAAATTAAAATTAAATTGTATGTGGAAAGATATGTTTTAAAGAAATAAAATGGTTTGTTTCAACACATTTAACATTTAAGTTTGCTTGACACACTTATTTTCTAGAAATACAGTAATTCAGTAAAAGTAATTGCTTTCTTTTATTTCCCTTTTTTTTTCTAGCTCAGCTTTATTTATCTGTCCAGAAGCACAAAGTTGACCTTAATATCTTTGACAACTATTTTTATAGTCACATTTATCCTTGTTTCCAGTGGAATCTTCTTCCCTTTCAGTTCGGATTTGGCAAACCCGAGGCCTAAGCGAATGCTTCTTCAGGTAAAAAGTGTTTCTGAATTTGCAAGGAAATGTATGATTTGTTTTTGCTTTTTTAAGACTCTCCTTTGAAAGGAGGAATACTTTGCCTTAAATCCAGTGATTTGAAATTAATATGTGTACTTTATTTTCATCAACCTCAATCTCAGATGTGCTTATCTTGCACTCTTCAATATGCCATTTTACCTCAGCCTTTGGATCGTGTCATTCCTGGAACTGGGAAAGAAGAATCAGAAAGAAATCTTCACTGATACTGCCCAATTATTTCATGGTTTAATATAAGAGGGTGTCTTGGCAACTTGGTTCCTATATAAAATAGGAAAAGACAATCCAAATGTCTTATAATCACAAATCTCTAGTCAGATCTCTGACTGATTTTTGTGAGAGTTCTATTTCTTACACAGCTGTAGTTATCAATTTACAATCTGCCCCTTATGTGAAATGGAAGTGGCCCAGAGGAATTCAGTAGAAATTCTTGTTCTTCATCTCCAGAGGTGCATCTGTAACAGCTGTCATCAAACCTTTTGAAACCAACACATTATCCCATTAAATCCAGGGCTTGGAAAGATGTAGTCAAAATGCCCAAGAAAACTAATCCAAATGGCGAAATATGTGGCTAAGGTTGCCCTGAGGTTTGGAGGCAAAACTTACAAAACTGAAATGAGGACATTGCTTGTATGTTCATGTACTCACTAATAGTTCATTTCCAACTTCATGTCTGATGCAGTTAACATTAATTGATAAATACGATTCTTGCTGAAAACTCTAAATTGACAAGTACTTATATGAAACTGGATTTTGCAAGAAGACCTTCATACTATTGGGACATGATCAAGTGAGGCAGTGCTTAAGCAAATGAAAGAAAACAGAATATCGTAACCTCTCAAAAGTATAGAACTGGGATATAGCAACGCACACTTCAAAGCGGCCTTTGAAATACCTACTCAGGTTAATAATACATTTCAGCCAGGAGTTATGTTGTAATGGCTCAATATTATACTATCAGCTAGATCAGTGGTAGTCAACCTGGTCCCTACCGCCCACTAGTGGGCGTTCCAGCTTTCATGGTGGGCGGTAGGGGTTTGCTGTAACTCTGCTTTATAAATTTTATAAAGTAAAGTTACTTCCCTCCTTTATAAATCACCATTACTGTGGAACTGGTGGGTGGTTAGAACATTTTAATACTACCAGAAATACAAAAGTGGGCAGTAGGTATAAAAAGGTTGACTACCCCTGGTTTAGGTAAATGCCTTCAAATTGTTCACT